AGTGAAAAATTCAGTGACAGTACATTGTAGTTTGGGGCTATTGCCTTTATTGATACTACTCAGCTTCATGCGTTTTTTGTTTTTGTTTTTTTTAAATAAAGGAAATAATTTTTTAAAAATAATTATTTATTATTCACATGAGTTTTGCCAGAGAAAGACAGAGACAGTGAGAGAGGGAGAATTAGAGAGCAAGCCACCAGGTCCAGGACTTGAAACATAGTCAGCCACCTGCTGGTCCCGCTTTTTTTTTTTTTTTTTTTGATTTGCTAGAGGGGGCATGCACTTGCCAGAAAGAGGGAAAGTGACAAAGCATTCCCCAAGTAGGATGGCCGCACTGCAGTTCTTCTTTTCCCAGGACTCTAGACACGCATGCACACGCACTCAGCATGTTCCCCAAGCCATTGGGTTTGAGAATTGAACCACACAGTTAGTGATCCAGCCTACCCAACCACCACCAACTCTCCTGGTCCCAGCATTTTTACACAGCATAACTTTTTGCACTATACTGTTAAAAAAAAAAGACAAAAATATCTTATTGTGAAAGCAGTTAGACTTTGTGAAACCCCTGAAAAATATTCTTGGGCATTTCTAGGGGTCTTCAGATCACACACTTTGAGAGGTACTAATCTTGAACAATGGTTTTTCACACTGCTTTATAGTCCTAATGTTCTTTGGTGGATTCGGCTCATGATGGCCTAGCGTACTCACCTTATCTTTATTTCAGCCAGGGCGTCTTCTGCTTATATCTTTTTGTTCTTTAATTTTCCCAGAGGGCATGTGCTCATAGAGAGACAGAAGAAGTAAGAAAGCACCTTGGCCGTGGCCATGCTGCAATCTCTCTTCCTTCATTTCTTTCTTTTGGAATTTTGGGCCTGCATGCACACTTGGTGTTCTCTAAACACCAAGTCCAGGTCTCAAACCACATAGTCAGCTGTGTGGAGTCCAGCTGCTTTAACCACCAGCCATGGACTGGTCTGGCCTGTTTGTTTATTTATTTTTTATTATATTTTTAAGAGATTTTTGCCTTAAGGCACTTGTGCTTGCTGGAAAGAGTGAGAGACAGAGACAGTGAGAGGGAAAGTGAGAAATCCCCCCGAAAGATGGTAGTCCCTTCTCCATTCTTTTCCCAGGATCTTGAACACATATACATATATACCCAGCATTGTGTGTGTGCGCATACACACGTGTATACATGCATGTGTGGGAGAAGGGAATGAGAAAGAGGTTTTTGGGTTTTTTTTTTACATTTATGTAGTTATTATGATCTTCAAACCATTAGGTCCAAGACTTGGACAGTCAGCCATGTGGGAACTTTAACTACCACACTACCTGCTGGCCTGAAAGATAGGGTTTCTAAAAAAATACTGGATCATTTGAAAAGTCATAATATTTTTCTACACAAAAATGCGTCATGCTCTTTTGATGACCCAATATTTATTCTATAATGGATGGAATATTTCATCTGGCTAGAGAATTAGGGAAGGTTTATAGAAGAAATTACATTTGGGCTAGTTTTTGAATTAATTAGGTTATTTGATGGGCAGCAGAGGGCATTTTTCTTTGAGTCAATGACACAGCAGAGTAAGGAAACTAGATTGGGAAGTAAATGGTTAATTTACTTTCCAATGTATTAATTACTTAATTTCTAGCAATTATTATAAAAATCATGAGGCTTGGGTCCAGCAGGTGGTGTGGTGATTAGGGTGCTAAACTCGCACATGGCTGACCATGGTTCAAGTCCCTGATCTAGTGACTTGCTTTCTCTTCTCTTCTCTTCTCTGTCTCTGTCTCTGTCTCTGTCTCTGTCTCCGTCTTAATCTGGTCAAATTGAAGAGTAATAAATAAAATAAAATAAATAATTATGTTTTAAAAATTATGAGACTCTTTCTAATATCTTTATTTCCTTTATGGTGATAATTTTTAAGAAAGCCCTTGGGACCAGCAGTTGGCATAATGGCTATGTCGCTAGACTCCCATGTAGTCGACTGTGGTTCAAATCCTGGACCTGGTGGCTTAAACTCAAGCCGGGTGCGTGTGTGTGTGCGTGCCCAAGATCCTGAGAGGAGAATGGAGAAGGCATTGCGGCATGGCCATGCCCCCGGGGGGTGATTTCTTGCTTTCTGTCTCTCTGGCGAGCTCACTCACCCTATAGCAAAATAAACTCTCCAAAAAAAAAGAAAAAGAAAAAAGAAAGCCCTTATACCATTTTGATTGACCATAGAGACTAAGTCAAACTTGTTCTTGCCAGAACTAAGACTGAGTATGAGTGAGAAACTTTTTTTCGAGGAGACTAAATTGGGTTTGCTTCTGCATTGTCCCTTGTTCTTTATTATAGAACAGATTAATTATTTAATGCTGTATGGGTTCTCACTTGTTACTTATTATCTTCCTAGTATTGAGGCTGTCCATGGGAAATTACAAGAAAAAAGGGATTGTGGTTTGATATTCCACATGTCAAACTGCATGGGAGGTGCTTTATTTCTCTCTCTCTCTCTCTCTCTCTTGCACGTGCATTAAACCTTCTGACAAAATTCTTTAAAAACCCACTTGTAAAATGTATTGTGATGGTAGAATTTTGTGTTAGAGAATTAAAAAATCAAAATTTGATTTTTAGGAACAATGAAACTTAGTGTCTATATAGAACTAATGCCACTGAAACTCATTAATACTGAAGTTTTCTGTAAAGACAAATTTCACAGAGATAAACTATACTGCATAGCTCTTGATGCCTGCTTTATAGAAGATGTCAGATTTACATGAACATATTGTCACCAGAATGAGTAAAAAAATATTAATAGGCGGTAGGGACAGGTCCTTAGCCTAATTATTAAGGAATTGGATCCTACATAGCTGACTGGTTTGAGTCCTGTCCCAAGTGACTTGAAATACAAGCTGGAGGGACCAGCAGTTAGCTTAATGGCTATGTCGCTGGACTCCCATGTAGCCGACCATGGTTCGCGTCCCGGACCCGGTGGCTTAAAACTCACACCGGACGTGTGTGCGTGCGTGCCCAAGATCCCAAGAGGAGAGTGGAGAAGGGATTGCGGCGTGGCCATCCCCCCTGGGGGGGTGATTTCTCACTTTCTGTCTCTACCTCTGTCTGTCTGGCGAGCGCACGAGCCCTATTGCAAAAACCTCTCCAAATAAACCCCCCAAAAAACACAGAACAAAACAAAAAACAAAAACAAGCTGGACACATGTATGCACATGTCTAGAATGCCAACTAGGATGGAAAATAGAGAAAGAATTATGGCATGACCATGCCCATTGGGTCTGCTTTATCCCCCCCCACCCCCGTTTCTCTGCTTCTCTGCCACATCTGTATGACCTCTGAAGATTAAAGAAAGTGGATGGCAAATCTAGCAATAACTGGATTGCTGTTGAAAGTATTTGCTGTACTTAAGGGTTATGAATTTTAGTCAAAGATATAGAAAGATTGGCTCCAGTAGGTAGTGTGGTGGTCAGGGTGCTAGACTCCCACATTGTTGACTGTGATTTGGGTCCCAGACCTGGTGGCTTGCTTTCTTTTTTTTCCCTTTTCTCTCTCTCTGGTCACATTAAAAAATAATAATGACAAGTAATTCTTTATAAAAAAGAAGATATAGAAACATGGATATAGCAGGGACTCTGACTCAAGACAGTAGTATGAGAGAAATTGCAATCAAAATGAGTCACTTGAGATATGTAACCCTGTCACAGTTGTCAATTGTGAGAGAGCCATCAGATCTGTACAAGTTCAGACTTCTGGTAAGCACTTCCAAAAATATTTCTTTTTAAAGGAGAGTGACTAGTTAATACGGTAAAGGCCTTATCTGTGACTTTTTAGATATTTTGTAGTAGGGGAGGCAGGAAATTTAAAGCAGATCATTAAAAGATAAATGATAACTACCTCAAATAACAGTCTCTAGTTCGAAGGGCATGCTTTAGAGTCATTTGAGCCTTTTCAGAATGCAATTCTGTTGATATATCCCAACCTTAGACATTTTGCTTCAGTACTTCTAGAATGAGGCATGGTGTTTTGGGAATTATTATTTTATTATATATATATTTTTTAATTATTTTATTCATCTTTCTTTCTTTCTTCGTTCTTCTTTCTTCTCTTCTCTTCTTCTTTCCTTCCTTCCTGGCATGCATGCACATGCACCCTGTGTGATTTTGAAGTTCGTCTATCCCCATCCTGTCCTCTTTGCCCCGAATCTGGGACTTGAACCGTGATCAGCCATGTGAAAGTTCAGTCACATAACCACTAGGCCATCTGCTGCTGGCTGGGGCAAGGGGATGAGGGGTGGTGGGTTTTTTTTTTTCTTTTTTTTGGAGAGATTTTTGCTATAGGGTGCATGCACTCACCAGAGAGACAGAGAAAGAGACAGAAAGCAAGAAATCACCCCCCAGGGGTTTGGCCACGCTGCAATCCCTTCTCCTCCATTCTCCTCTCGGGATCTTGGGCACGCACACACACGCACCTGGCGTGAGTTTAAGCCACTGGGTCTAGGACTTGAACCGCGGTCACCTGGGAGTCCAGCGACATAGCCATTACACTAACTGCTTGTCCCAGGGGCGGTGGTGTTTTTTGAAAAGCTAGAAATAAACTTTTTTTAAAGGTTTTTGCAATAGGGTGTGTGCACTTGCTAGAGAGAGACAGAAAGGGTCAGAGAAGGAATGTGAGAAATCACTGTCCAGGGGAGAGGGCCATGCTGCAGCCCCTTCTTCATTTTCCTCTTAGGATTTTGGGCATACATGCACACATGCCCAGCACGATTGTCTAGCCACTGGTCCAAGACTCAGCGCAGTCGGCCATGTGGGAAGCCAGTCCTTTAACTAAACTACCTTGCTATCTGCTAGCCCGTACAAGGTTTACTTTATCTTACAGAGTTTTAGGATATGAAATGAGAGTTTATGCTATAGTTTGAGTAGTTCTAAATTTGTAGAATGATTTTCTGGAATGATTACATTGTGGTTTTTGGTATTTAAAAAGATTAACATTTTTTTCTTCTTTCCAGCTTTCTGAAGCAAAGCCTCATTTTGAAGATGTTCAATAAATCATTTGGAACACCCTTTGGGGGTGGCACAGGTGGCTTTGGCACAACATCAACATTTGGGCAGAGTAAGTGTTAAAAAATAAAAACAGAAGAAAATATCTTAATTAACCTATTGTTAAGAAGAAACCCACTATGATAGCTTCAGATAGGAATTTTACTCATACTATGGTTTTATAACAAAGTCTCTGAAAAATAACTAAGTTAAGATCTTGCTAAAATTTTCCAAGAACAATAAGTTATTAGTTCTTATGGCCTTCCAATCATTAATAAAATATTTTGAAAATACTTGTATTTTTAAAAAAAGAATTATTTTATTTAACATTATTTATTTTTTAAATTTTTGATCAGAGAGGGACAAGAGTGGGAAGGGGGAGTGAGAAAGCAAGCTGCCAGGTCAGGACTCAAATGCAGTCAGCCATATGGGAATCTAGCACCCTTAACTACGATGTTACCTGCTCGCCCCTGGCTCATTTTTTTGTTTTTGTTTTTGTTTGAGAGGTTTTTGCTATAGGGCATATGTGCTCGCCAGAGAGACTGAGACAGACAGAAAGTGAGAAATCATCCCCTAGGGAGGATGGCCACCTGCAATCTACTCCTTCTGGAATCTTGGGCATGCTCACATGCAGTGTGAATTTTAAGCTGCCAGGTTTGGGACTCAAACCGCGGTCAACTATGTGGGAATCCAACAACATAACCATTACACCATCTACTGGTTCCTATTTGGCTCTTTTAATAGCAAATTATATATTATTGATTTTCTGATCAGAAAAAAAAATTTTTTTTTGAGAGGTTTTTGCTTTAGGGCACGTGCACTCGCCAGAAAGAGACAGAGAGACAGAAAGTGAGAAATTACTCCCTAGGGGAGATGGCCACACCACAGTGCCTTCTCTTCCATTCTCCCCTCTGGATCTTGGGCACGCACATACATATGCCATGTGTGAGTTTAAGCCACCGGGGTCCAGGACTCAAACCGCGGTCGATTACATGGAAGTCCAGCGACATAGCCATTATGGCAACTGCTGGTCCTAAAAATGATTTTTTTTAAAGAATTATTTCATTTAACTTTATGTATTTATTTTAATTTGACCAGGGAAGGAAGAGAGAGAGAGAAATTAAGAAAGCAAGCTGCTAGGTCCATGACTTGAACTGCGGTTGGCCATGTGAGAGTTTAACGCCCTTAACTACCATGCCATCTGCTGGCCCCCAGAAAATGATTTTTTTAATGTTGAAGTCTAACATTCAATTATTGAATAACTACTCCAGGATTTGGTCTATGAATAAGATATGCTCAGAAACAAAAATGTTATAGTCTCTGGTCCCTAATTCCCACCAGCCCTCCTGGGATCCACTTTACGTTCCACCCAGTATTGTACTTGTTTCCTGTTGTGACCCTCATTTACTTTTTTTTTTAGTTGTCTTTTTTTTTTTTTTTTTTTGCCGAAGTGCATTGATTGCATGCTCAACAGACAGAGACAGAGAGGAAAGTGAGAAATTACCTCCCAGGGAATAATGGCCATGCTGTAGTCCCTTCTCCTCTGTTCTTCTCTTGGGATTTTGGGGTATGCATGCACAGGTGCCTGGTGCGATTTTCATGCTACCAGGTCCAGGACTCAGAATGCAGTTGGCCATGTGGGAGTCTAGCACCTTAATCTCCATGTCACCTTCAGGCCCTCTAGGGTGTTTTTTAACCAGTTGTGCTCATCAGTGTCACCCTTGGAAGTTTTTATTGAAAGTATATATTTCCTATCATAAAATTACGGAATAAAAATATTTGGGGTGGGAACCTAAACATGTACATGTTGAAGAAACTCCTCAGGCCATTCTGATGTATTACCATAATGAAAGATCACATATCTCTGACTAGGGAGTGTAATGGAACATGGAGGTGATTTTTTTTTTAAGTTTGCCAGAGAGCACGTGTGCTCGCCTGAGTGAGTGAGTGAGTGAGTAAATGAGAGAGAAGTTGCTCTCCATGGAGGATGGTCATACCACAATCCCTTCTCCTCCATTTCTTCCTCCTTTTGGGAGTTTGGACACCCATGGGTTTTTCCCAAGCAGTTGGATAATAGGCCTGAAATGGATAGTTAGCCATGTGGGATTCACTTACCTTATCTGTCATACTACCAGCAGGCTCTGTAGATAATTTTAACTCTTTTTGTTCATTTGTTTGTTTTTTGAGAGGTTTTTGCTATAGGGTGTGTGTGCTTGCCAGAGAGACAGAGATAGAGAGACAGAAAGTGAGAAATCACCCCCCAGGGGGGATGGCCACGTTGCAGTCCCTTTTCCTCCATTCTCCTCTCGGGATCCTGGACACGCACGCACACGTGCCTGGCGTGAGTTTAAGCCACTGGGTCCAGGACTCAAACCACGGTTGACCATATGAGAGTCCAGCAACATAGCCATTACACCATCCACTGGTCCCTAATTTTAACTCTTTTATTTTAATGATTTTAGATTTATCTGTAGCTCATAGTCACTAGTTAATCTTGGCACTCTTTTTTTTTTTTTTTTTTTTTAAAGTTGTCAACATCTGTAACTCTTGAAGTTAAACCCTCTTGAATTAAAGTTTCCATTCTTTGCCAGAGAACAGTGAATGCAACATTTATAGCTTAATTTTTAGACTATAAAATACTGTCATGGAAGTTTTTAAAAAGTTTTGAAATTAGAAAAGCAATCCTATTCAACTCTAGAATGTTAAGAAATATTAAGGAGCCTGCAAGTGGTGGGTTGATTAAGGCGCTGGACTCCCACATGGGAGATTGTGGTTTGAGTCCTGGACTTGGTGGCTTGCTTTCTCACTTTCCCTCCCTCTCTCTCTCTCTCTCTCTCTCTCTCTCTGGTGAGCATGTGTGCCCTGTAGCAAATTAAAAAAATAATAATAATACATAAATCTTTTTTTTTTTTTTAGAGAGATTTTTGCTTTAGGATGCATGTGCTTACCAGAAAGATAGAAAGCGAGAAATCACCCTCTTGGGAGATGGCCACGCTGTAATCCCTTCTCCATTCTCCTCTTAGGATTTTGGGCTCACTCACACACATACTTGGCATGAGTTTAAGCCACCAGGTCTGGGACTCAAACTGTAGTGGACTATGTGGGAGTCTAGCAGCATAACCATCATGCCATCTGCTGATCCTATAATTCTAATAAAATGAATATTAAAACCTTTTTCATTTGGTCTCCTGATTTATATTTTATTCTAAATTCTACTTTATCCTGGACTCTGCCTTTTCAGATACTGGCTTCGGCACTACTAGTGGAGGGGCATTTGGAACTTCTGCATTTGGTTCTAGCAATAATACTGGAGGCCTGTTTGGCAATTCACAGACCAAACCAGGTAGGGGATTTATTTGAAATATAGCTGGTTAATTTATAGCTGTTACAGGACTTCATTAACTGGCTCTGATACATCTTTTTAACTTTTTTTCTTCCCTTTTCATCTCTTCAGGAGGATTATTTGGTACCAATTCATTTAGCCAGCCAGCCACCTCCACAAGCACTGGCTTTGGGTTCGGTACATCAACAGGAACATCAAATAGCTTGTTTGGAACTGCAAGCACAGGCACCAGTCTTTTCTCATCCCAGAACAATGCCTTCGCTCAAAATAAGCCAGCTGGCTTTGGGAGTAAGTAGGACATCATTGGACTTCTGCATTAGCAATTTGATCCACTTATTAAATGTATTCTCTCATCCCCTTTTCCCTATGTTTACCCAGCTCCTTTTCCACAAAGGAAAAATCCAGGGAAATTGAAAACTTCAATATGTGTTGAAGAGTTTACTGTGCTAGAAAAGTTGGTGGTATATATGTGTCACTTTAAGGATAGAAATCTAAGAAGATAGTACTTAAGGTGATATACAGAAGAGGTTCCTGATAAAGAATGGGCAGAGATAGTTACAGTAGTGTTGGTATTAAGACAGGAGAACTTCAAGGAGGAACGTGTTGCAGTCAGCAGGACAGTACTGTAGTGGTGCCGCCTTCTTGCCTTTGTATCACTGTTGGTATGAAGAGACTAGTACAGTAATGACAAATACTGGATATGACATGGTTACTAATATAATTCTTTATCCATGGCAGTTTTTGTTTTTTACTTTTGCTCTAAGGTATGTATATTATCTGGAGAGAGACAGAGAGAAAAAAAGTAAGAAATGACCCCCTCATGAGGATGGCCATAACACAATCCCTTCTCCATTCTCTTGGGCATGCATGCACACATGTCTGGTGTGATTTTTCAAGATGCCAGGTCTGGATCTAGAACTGCCATGCCTCCTGCTGGTCCCCAGATGTTTATTTTTATTCATTCATTTATTCATTTTTTTTTTTTAAGGGTTACTGTACTTAACTTACTTTCTCTCTCTCTCTCTTTCTTTTAAAAATTTGACCAGAGAGGGGCAGAATGAGAGTGAGAGTGGGAAAGTGAGAAAGCAAGCTGCCAGATCTGGGACTCAAACTGTGGTCAGCAATGTGGGAGTCCATTGCCCTTAACTACTATGCCACCTCCTGGCCCCTCATTTTTTAAGAGAGATTTTTGCTATAGGGCGCATGCTCTTGCCTGAGAGACCAGAGACAGAAAGTGAGAAATCACCTCCTAGGGAGATGGCCATGGTGCAGTCCCTTCTCTATTCTCCTGTTGGGATTTTGGATATACAAGCACTCGTGCCCAGCGTGAGTTTTTTTTTTTCTTTGTCTTTTTCTTTTTCTTTTTTTGGAGAGGCTTTCGCTATAGGGCACGTGCGCTCACTGGACAGAGACAGGAAGCAAGAAATCACCCCCCATGGGGGATGGCCACGCCGCAATCCCCTTCTCCTCCATTCTCCTCTCGGGATCTTAGGCACACACGCACACGTGCCCGGCGTGAGTTTTAAGCCACCGGGTCTGGACATGAACCGCAGTCAACTAGGTGGGAGTCCAGTGACATAGCCATTATGCTAACTGCTGGTCCCCCCAGCGTGAGTTTTAAGCCACCAGTATGGGACTTAAACCACTGTTGAATACGTGGGAGTCCAGTAGCATAACCATTATGCTGTTTGCTGGTTCCCCCCAGATGGTTTTAATTCATGGCTTCCTCTAAGTCTAGATGTTGCCTACAGCTACTTTTACACATGATACTTTAAGGTACCCAGTGTTAGTTGATCAGCATGTCATATATGGTGATGTCATTCGAAGAATAAGAGAATGACAGAATAAGTAGTAAGCTAGGCATTAGTATTTTCTAAAGGGAAAGTTGTTTGTAGGGATGTCAAAATATTTAGCCATGACAGTATAAGATATAGTTAGGGCCAGCAGGTGACATGGTGGTTAAAGGCACTGGACTTCCACATGGCCAGTTGCAGTTCAAGTCTCAGACCTTGTGGCTTGTTTATTCACTTTCTCTCTGTCTGTCTGTGGTGAATACACATGTCCTATAGCAAATTAAAGAATTATAGTAATATAAAAACACACACTGAATACGTGTGCATGCATGCTGAAAATCCTTAGAGGATAATGGAGAAGAAGGGATTGCAGCATGGCCATCTCTCTCTGACACACACACACACACACACACACACACACACACACACACATACACAGTCTCTCTTTGGTGACCATATATGTCCTATAGCAAAAAGTAAAAAACAATTTCAATCTAAAGCGCCAATTCAAAAGAGATGTGCCTGTATACTTTAAACTTAATATTTGAAAGAAATAAAAATAGTCTGCAAGTAAGAAATTATTTTCTTTTTTTCTTTTTTCTTTTTTTTATTTTTATTTTTATTTTTTGGAGAGATTTTCGCTATAGGGCGGGTGTGCTCGCCAGACAGAGAGAGAGAGACAGAGAGACAGAAAGCGAGAAATCACACCCCAGGGGGGATGGTCACGCCGCAATCCCTTCTCCTCCATTCTCCTCTCGGGATCTTGGGCACGCACACACACGCGCCCGGCGTGAGTTTTAAGCCACCAGGTCTGGGACGCGAACCACAGTTGACTACGTGGGAGTCCAGCGACATAGCCATTACGCTAACTGCTGGTTCCCAGAACTTATTTTCTTTTAAAGAATTATTTATTTATTTAATTTCATTAGTTATTTTTTAATTTGATTAGAGAGAAATAGCGAGAGAAAGGGAAAACGAGAAAGCAAGCCGCCAGGTCCAGGACTCAAACCGTCGTTGGCCATGTGGGAATCTATTACCTTTATCCACCAGGCCACCTGCTGGCTTCCCAGGTAGAAATCGTTAGCTTGATAATTAGGATGTAAGTATATTATTAAATATTAGGACTAGCCCCCTACCACTTTATGGTTCTACACAGAGAAAACGTAATCTCACATAGCTGATTGGTGTTCAAGACCGCATTGGCTTGAAAAATACCAGGCGTGCACTCATGTGCCAAGGATTCTGATAGGATAGGAAGTAGTCTCATGGGGAGTGGTGCTTTTTCTTTTATTCTCTTTCTCTTTCACATGCACTTGTACTTGGCTGTCATTAAAAATGTATATGTACTAACCAGCCTCTGGCCAGTTAAGGCAGCTATATCACACATTGCCATCCACACGGTTCAAATCCTGGACTTAATGGCTTGAAGAACACACTGATGTGTGTGTGTGTGTGTGTGTATGTCCCAAATCCTTAAAAGTGGAAGAAATGGAGAAGGGTTGTTGTGTGACCATGCCCCATGTGGAAAATGTTTTCTTGCTCTCCCCAACGCCATCTCTCCAGCAAGTACATGCTCTCTGGCAAAAATTAATTCAATAATTTAAAAAAAATAGGGACTAGCAGATGATGTAATGGTTACGTTACCGGACTTCCATGTGGTTGACTGGGGTTCGAGTCCAGGATTCGGCCATTTAAAACTCACGCTGAGCATGTGTATGTGCCTTCCCAAAATCCTGAGAGGAGAACGGAGAAGGGATTCTGGTGTGCCCATCCCCACAGGGGGGTTGATTTCTCACTTGGTGTGTGTCTGTCTCTCTCCAGCTAGTTCATGCTCTCTGTAGCAAAAATTTCTCTCAAAAAATAAAGCAACCAAAACACTGTATTTCTCTTTTCTTTTTTTAAAGAATTATTTATTTTACTTTATTCATTCATTTATTTTAATTTGACCAGAGAGGGACAGAGAGAGCGAGAGAGAAAGCCAGAAAGCAAGCTGCCAGATCTGGGACTTGAACTGTAGTCAGCCATGTGGGAGCCCACCACTCTTAACCACCATGTCAGCTGCCATCCCCAAGGATCTGGTCTTTATTAGTTTTTATAAAATGATCAACAGAGCTTGCTAATTTTTCTAAATTGGGGGAAGTAAAATTTGCATTTCCTTTGTTTGTTTGCTCTATAGAAGTACTTATCTGTTTTAACTTACCTGGACATATGGATATATGTAATACTACATATAAATAAAACATACTGTGACCCCATTCGAAGTCTGTTGTAATAAGATGTTTTTAGAAAGACAAATTCATACAGCATTTAGTCTTCCTAAGAAAAGGAAAAATGAGATAAAATTTCTGATGAAACAAAGTACTATTACTTTTGTTTCCCAGTTCACCCAATAACAGCTTCCTGGACACTGAGCTGTCTAAAGAATTCAGAATTATTTCACTTGAACATTGTAAGCCTAGAAGTATGTGTGTCTGTATGAAATGTTTGCAGAATTCAAAGATAGATAACTCGAGGATATGGAAGTGCTGATAATCAATTCTTAAATTCTTTATTATTACTCTCTCTCTTTCCTTTTTTCTTTCCCTCTTTTCCCCGTTTTACAGATTTTGGAACAAGTACCAGCAGTGGGGGACTCTTCGGAACTACAAACACCACTTCTAATCCTTTTGGTAGCACATCTGGTTCCCTCTTTGGGCCAAGTAGTTTCACAGCTGCTCCTACTGGAACTACTATTAAATTTAATGTATGTATTTTCTTTCAATCTTTGTGCAATATGTTCATTTCCACTTCTTTGTTTCTTTGTGAATGAGTCAGAAAATTGTTCCTTTTTTCTTTTTAAAGAATTATTGAATTTTATTTATTATTACTTTAATTTCCTATAGGGCATGTGTGCTCAATAGAGAAAAAGGAAAAGTGAGAAAGCAACCCACCATGTCTGGGACTTGAACTGCGGTTGACTATGTGGTAGTCCAGTGACTCAACCACCATGTCACCTGCTGGCCCTGCCCCCCCCTTTTTTTCTTGTTTCCAGTTATGCCTTGCTTAATGAGATTCCTGAAAGATGAGTTATGAACAGTATCTGTAAATAGTTATATATAGAGTAGATAGGATTTGTGAAACATAACTAGATTATGATACTGTTTGAATTAAGCTCACTCCAACCAAATCTGTATTCACAGGGTTGATTCTAATAGTAAGGTAGAATTTTAATTTACTGTGTCCCTAATTTGGCCTCTGAATGGTAATATTTATTTATTTTTTTAAAGAGGTTTTGCCTTAGGGTGCATGTGCTTTTGGGAGAGAGAGGCTGAGAGAGAAAGTAAGAAATTATCCCCCAGGCGTGATGGTCATGCTGCAATCTCTTCTCTTCTATTCTCCTCCCAAGATCTTGGGCATGCATGCACATGCATATAGCATGATTTTCAAGCCACCAAGTCTGGGATTAAAACCTCAGTCAGCCATGTGGGAGTCCAATAACATAGCCATTTGACCATCTTCTGGCCCTGTGAGCTATTCTTTCTGATTTCGTGCCTAAGATCCCAAAAGGAGAGAGAAATGGAGAAGGGATTGCCATGTGACCATTTCTCATGGTTAGTGCTTTCTGCCTCTCCTCCTCCCTCCCCCTCTCCCAGGTGAGTGTATACACCCTTGGGCAAAATTTTAAGAATTTACATATATATAAATGAAATAAGCGATCGGTATTCTCTACAGATTGAAAAATAAAACTGACAACATTGGGAAAATACAGTTTAGTGCCTACTTTTTTCTCTTTAATGGGTTTTTGCTGTAGGCTGCATGTGCTTGCCAGAGAGACAGAAAGTGAGAAATCACCCCCCAGAGGCAATGGCCATGCTGCAATCCCTCCTCCTTTCTCTTCTCAGGATTTTGGGTATGCAAGTACACACACCTGGTGTGTTTTAAGCCACCAGGTTGAGGACTCAAGCCACAGTCAACCAGGTGGGAGTCCAGTGATGTAACCATTATGCCGTCTGCTGGTCCCTTCTTTTATTTATTTATTTATTTTTAAATACATTTTTCCTGATGGATGCGTGTACTTGACAGAGAGGGAAAGTGAGACATCACCCTCTGAGGTAGATGGCCACTCCTCTATCCTCTTTTCTTCATTTTCTTGAGACTTTGGGGATATACGCACATCGGCCCAGTATGTTTTTTCAGGCATCTAGGTCTAGGAATTGAATTGTGGAGTTGGCCATGTGGGCTCCAGCACTTTAACCACCATACTACCTGTTGGCCATAGAGAGGAGAATTTTGTTAACACAAAGATATGGAATACTTGAAGTAAATGTTCAGGAGATGTTCAGTATAGGTTGGAGGTATAATTAGCCTAATGGAAATTTCTGACAGAAATTGGGTTAAGGGGTCATTTGGCAGGTGGTGTGGTAGTTAAGGGCACTAGGCTCCCACTGTGATTCTAGTCCCGGACCTGCTCTTTCTCTGACTGTTCCTCTCTGCTCAAATCAAAATAAAATAAGTTAAATCATTCTTAAAAAAAATATGGATTGGTTAAACTTGTTTAAATTTATTCTAGAAAAGGAATAATTTCTCAGGTAAGGTGGTTAATTCTTAATACATACTAAATTTAGAATTCTGAATTTATAATTAAATATAAATGATAATGAAGAATACTGTGTATTGCCCTTGGGAAAATTCATTAGTTGAGAAAACTGACAATTCATGTAGGAATCTTCAGTTATTTTTTGTGCCTTTTCTCTCATAAAGCTATTGGGGAAAAAACAGGCTTCTATATTTTCTAAGTGAAATAGTAGTTATAAAATTGACACCTTTAGGGCAGACTATTAAAGCAAAGATACAGAGGTTTAAATGTATATATATGGTGAATTGGGTAAAGCTTTCCTATGCATGTAATATTACATATATCTTACCAAATAATTGGATGGCTTGGGTTATGCAATTAATCTCTGGATTTGTAAAAAGATGGTTACTGAGATGGACTTAATCAGAAAATGTATAAAAGTAGGAGTGGAGAGATCAGAAATTGAATGCATGTAATCAGCTACATTTGGCATTGTTTTCTTATAAAAGACTAGGGGGCTAGATTTAGGGTGTAGTTGTTGAAGAAATATGTCTGAGAGTAGGAATATGAAGCTTACACTTAAAATTTGTCTTTTACTTTATTTACAGCCTCCAACTGGTACAGATACTATGGTCAAAGCTGGAGTTAGCACTAACATCAGTACCAAGCACCAATGTATTACTGCTATGAAAGAATATGAAAGCAAGTCACTGGAGGTCAGTAAAATGTGATGAAGAATATTAGCCAAACCTTTTTGTCCTGTTGCAAAGCAGCTTATGAAATGTTTCTGATTTTTTTTTTAACATCAAGTAGTTCACATTGAATTTAAGTAAAAAAAAGACCTAAGAATAACAAAATATTTTTAAAGTTATGTATTTATAGTTTTTATTTTTTAAGATGGAGATAAATTAGTCTCACATTGATGTTGCTTTTATAATGGTCTATTCTGACTGGATGTTCCTCACATTGCACTGACCATTGTGTGTGTGCTTAAATTTTTTTTGTTTTGTTTTGTTTTTTTAAATTGTTTTTAAAGAATTGTTTTGGGACCAGCAGATAGCGTAATGGCTGTGTCACTGGACTCCCATGTAGTTGACTGCGGTTCAAGTCCCAGACCCTGTGGCTTAAACTCACGCCAAGTGCATGTGCGTATGTGCCCAATTCCCAAGAGAAGAATGGATTTGAAAGGATTGCGGTGTGGCCATCTCCCCTGGGGGGTGATTTCTCGTTTTCTGTCCGTCTGGCGAGTGCACGCGCACTATAACAAAAAAAACTCTCAGAAAAAAAAGAATTATTCTATTTAACTTTATCTATCATTATCAATATTTTTGAACTTGACCAGAGAGAGACAGAGAAAGAAGGAAAGCAAGAAAGTAAGCCACCAGGTCCAGGACTCAAACCACTGTCACCCATGTGGGAATCCGGCACCTCTAACCACCACACCACCTGTTGGTTGTTTTTTTTTTTTTTTTGAAGAGGTTTTTGCTATAGGGCACGTGTGCTCTCCAGACAGACAGAGACAGACAGAAAGTGAGAAATCACTCCCTGGGGGGATGGCCATGCCGCAGTCCCTTCTCCATTCTCCTTTTGGGATCTTGGGCATGCACGCACAAGCGTGAGTTTTAAGCCACCGGGTCCGGGACGCGAACTGCGGTCGACTACATGGGAGCCCAGCGACATAGCCATTATGCTAACTGCTGGTCTCCCACTCTCATGTTTTTAATAAACTTATGCCAAGTCATAAGTATATATCTTTATAAGTTTTTGCTAAGCAAGAAGATCTAAAATAAATACTGAGTAATGAAAGCATTCCAGATTCTACATTGGCCCTGCCCTCTTGTTCACAATTACTTTTTGCCCATTTTTATACTTTGTATAGCTGGAATCTTTTAGTGTAATCTTTAAAATCTTTTAGTGTAATCTTTAAAATCTTTCAACATTATGATATTCACCCATGTTATTACATTAATTTGTATTTTATTCATTCTTATAGCTCCATAATAAATTGTTGTACATTTAAACCATTGTTCCTGATTGTCGTTGCTTTTCCCTAAATTCCACTGTGCTTGCCTTTTTTTCCCTAAAGAATTACTTTATTTAACATTTATTTATGCATTTACTCATTTTAAATTTGATCAGAGAAGGACAGAGCGAGAGTGAAACAGAGACAGAAAGTGAGAAAGCAAGCCTCCAGATCTGGTACTCAAACTGCAGTTGGACATGTGGGAGTCCAGTGTCTTTAACCACTATACCACCTGTCAGCCCCTGTGTTTGGTTTATTAGACTGTGCTGAAGCACTCTGACAGTTGGACAAAACATTTCTTCTTGGAGCCGGCATGTGGCATGGTGGATAAGGGCGCTGGACTCCCACATGGCCTAGTGTGGTTCAAATTCCAGACCTGGCAACTTGCTTTCTTGCTCATTCTCTCTCTCTCACTCTCACTTTCACTCTGTGTCTTGCTATGTCCCTCTCTGGTTTAATTAAAATAAATAAATACATACATAAAATTAAAACCTGCTGGTCGCAAAATAATTATTTTTTGAAAAAAAGATTCTTGGGACCAGCAGGTGGCGAGGTGGTTAAGGCGCTGGACACTCCGACATGGCTGACCATTGTTCAAGTACCGGACCTGGCGTCTTGCTTTCTCTCTCTCTTTCTTGCTCCCTCTCGTCAAATTAAAATAAATGAATAAATAAAATAAATAATTAAAGAATTCTTTTCTAAATTTCCAAACCCTCTAAAATTCTCCATCTTTCAGCAACTAAGTTTAAAATTTGGGAGGAAGGTGTAGGCAAAATTATTGTATAGCATCCTACTTTAAGAATTTCTTGTTTATAAAAGAAAATTCTTAGTAAGATGTGGCCAGATGTTTGGCCTTTAGTTTTGTGTTAATTATTATATGAATATAATGCCTATAGGAAATGTTTTTCTGTAATAGTAAGTTAATGTCATTCTGTAGTTTTCTGTTTTGAGGAGCATGGTTCCAGTATGAACATAGAACTTGAATACTAAATCCAAATATCCTAGGTTTTTTAATTAAAAGTTGAGGGGTATCATATTAAGATGAGGAATAATGTGTTCACACCTTCCTCCAGGAACTTCGCTTAGAAGATTATCAGGCCAACCGGAAGGGCCCACAGAACCAAGTGGGAGCAGGTACCACAACTGGCTTGTTTGGGTCTTCTCCAGCCACCTCCAGTGCAACAGGACTCTTCAGTTCTTCCACCACTAATTCAAGCTTTGCATATGGTCAGAACAAAACTGCTTTTGGAACTAGTAAGCACTTAACATTATATTGGACCATATTGACAAAAGACAGAAAACTGAAAGTAAAACATAATTGTTTTGTAAAAAGTTTTATAGAGAGAAATAATTCTAGGATACTTAAGGAATAAAAACTGTTCTGTGGAGGTGGGGAGAAATAGAGTTTTAAATGAGGATGGTTAAAGAAGTTTCACTGAGAAGATGATGTTTGAAGAGTGGCTATATTTAAAAAGTTAAGGAGCAAGTTGTAAAGTTGGAGGAATAAGACTTGAGCTACAAGAACTATAAATCTAAAAATGCCAAGTTTTTGTCAAAGGGGGTAAGGGGACATACTGAGGGATACGAGGACCATATTTTGAAGGACTTAGTTAATATTAACACATTTGGTTTTTTGTTTTGTTTTGGAGAGGTTTTCTGCTATAGGCTGCGTGCACTCACCAGAAAGACAGAGAGAGACAGAGACAGAAAGCGAGAAATCACCCCCCAGCGGGGTTGGCCACGCCACAATCTCTTCTCCTCCATTCTCCACTCGGGATCTTGGGCACACACACACACACACACACACGCACACGCACCCAGTGTGTGTTTAAGCCACCCTGTCTGGGGCTCAAAGCGCGATTGACTATGTGGGATTCCAGTAACATTGCCATTATGCTAACTGCTGGTCCCAATAAACAATAGTTTTGAAGGTTGTTATATTGAGATTAGGTTGTATGGGGTAAGGGTGGGGACACATTATTTAGAAAAAAACAATTATTCCTTCCACACGAGTCATGATGGCGACTTAGATGAGAATGGTGCTGTGGAAATGGTTAAAAAAAAAAAAAAAAAAAGTCAGATTCTGGACCCAGTTTGATTGTAGAACTGATTAGGTTTGCTAATGTGTGATATAAGAGAAGTTTAAGATGGTGACTAACTTATTTTATAAAAATGTTAACTTTTACCAAAGTGATGCATAGATAAAAGGTTCATAAAATTCAAAAAAGTATAGAACCAAAAGTCCCTTCCCTGTGCTCTCTCAGCCACCCATTTGCCTCTGTTTAGATTAATGAAAGTAATAATTTTTTCATAGCTTTTTATAGAGATAAAAATATTTAACTAAAGGACCTTATTTATTTATTTATTTATTTATTTATTTTAAGAGAGATTTTTGCTATAGGACCCGTGCAGTTGCCAGAGAGACAGTAAGAAAGTGAGAAATCACCCCTCCAGGGCGATGGCCACTCTGCAGTTCCTTCTCTATTTTCCCATCAGGTTTTTGGGTATACACACACACACACACACACACGCACGCACACATGCCCAGTGTGAGTTTTAATCAGCCAGGTCCAGTTCTTGAATTGCAGTCAGCTACATGGAAGTCTAGCGACGTGACCATTATGCCATCTGCTGGTCCCAACCCAGTGACATTTAACATTCTTTTCAATCTTCGTGTCCTATAATTTAGTTAGCATGTTTTTATTTATTGGGTACTATGTGTCAGGTCTATGTGGAATTGATATAAAGAAATAGCCTCTTTCTGAAGCATAATTTAGTTTAATAAGATTAAAATATACACACAGACTTTGGGTATTTTTATCTTGTAAAATAAAAAAGCTATTGGCTCAAAGAGGAATATCATTTAATCCAATGAGGGTTCTTACAGTTAGGTATTATTATAGAAATTAAATAAACCTTGTAGTAGTCGGCAACGTGGTTATGGTGGCTGAATCCCACATGACTGACTGCACAGTTCAAATTTTGTGCTTGAGAAATATGCAAGGCACATGTGCCTGTGTGCCCAAAATCACAGAAGAAGAAATGTGACCATCCCGTAAGCATGTGTCCCCTTTGCTTTAGTGAGTACACACAACCTTTAGCAAATAAAAAAGAAAGTAAATACATCTGGAATTAGTGAAGGGTGGGAAATGAAATGTTTATAGAGCATCAAATGAAGTAGGGTAATTTACCTTTTTTTCCTTTTTTTTTTTTTTGTTTTATCTTGTTGTTGATAGGTACAACTGGATTTGGGACAAATCCAGGTGGCCTCTTTGGCCAACAGAATCAGCAGACTACCAGCCTCTTTAGCAAACCATTTGGCCAGGCCACAACCACCCAGAACACTGGCTTTTCCTTTGGCAATTCTGGCACCCTAGGACAGCCGAGCACCAACACCATGGTAAGGACACAAGTCTGTAGTTTTTTAAACTAAGTAATGAAGCTTCTAATCATTTCCAGTTACCAAGTTCTGGGGCCAGCGAGTGGGGTGGTAGTTAAGGTGCTGGACTTTCTCATATCCAACTGTGGTTTAAGTCCCAGACCTGGCAGTTTGTTTTCTCACTTTCTCTCTCTCATCAAATTAAGAAATAATAACAAATAAAAATGAATAAATAGTTCTTAAAAAAAAATTACCAAATTCTGGGGCCAGACAGTGGTACAGTGATAAAACATGATGTTTTATGAGACAGTGCTACATTGAAAGTTCCTTTGTTTAAGTCTGGAGACCTCCCTGAGTATTATGAGTACAGGTTTGCCAATAACTTGGGCTAGCTGAACACTGGGGAGTAGATCACATCATCATGACCCTGTTGAGGATGTTCTCTCTCTCTCTCTCTCTCTGTCACTATCTCTCTCAGTCATAGAAAGATAATTTTAAGAAGAAAAGAAGGAAAACTAAAAACAAAACCAGAAAGTTCTGTCAACCTTTTTTGCAGTTCTTAAGAGCTGAAGATATTTAGTGAAAGAGGGGAACAAAATCTTTAAATAATTAAGACCTACGTTTCGGGACCAGCAGCTGGTGTAATAGCTATGTCGCTTGACTCCTTTGTAGTCGACCATGGTTTGAGTCCCAGACCCGGTGGCTTATACTCAGGCCGGGCGCATGTGCGTGCATGCCTAAGATCTTGAGAGGAGAATGGAGGAGAAGGGATTGCAGCGTCACCATCCCTCCTGGAAGTGATTTCTCTCTTTCTGCCTCTCTGTCTCTCTGGCGAGCACATGCACCCTATAGCAAAAACCTCTCAAAAAAATAAAAAAGACCTACATATCAACCCAGAATGTACTCTTTACTGTTTGAGAGGCTGTGGAACAGGCCACTTACCCTTATAAGAGCATATTTTTTTCATTAACTAAATAAAAGCTGCTTAATGGGCAGAGAATAGGGGTTTAGGAATTCTGTTGACAGGAAAGTCATGACACATTTTGTGATGGAAAATATGTCATAATGTGTCATGACTTTGTGATGACCCTTTAGAATGGCTCTTTTTTAATTTATTTATTTAACTTTATTCATTCATTCATTTTTAATTCGATCAGAAAGACACACACAGACTGAGAGAGAGAGAGAAGGTGAGAAAGCAACTGCCAGGTCCAGGATTTGAACCATGGTCACCCATTTGGGAGCTTCCAGCACCTTAACCACTACACCACCTGCTGGTCCCCTAGAATGGCTCTTTAACTTTTTTTTTTTTTTACGATTTACTATAGTTAAGGGTACATGTGCACAACAGGAAGAGAGAGAGAGAGGGAAAGTGAGAAATCACTCCCCGGGGAGATGACATCATGACAGTCCCTTCTTTAGTCTTGGGATTTTGGGCGTGCTTGCACACGTGTCCAGTGTGATTTTCAAGCCTTGGGTCCAGCACCCTAACTGCCATGTGGGATCAGGTACCTTATTCTGCATGCCACTTGCTGACCTCTATATTGCCTATCTTGATGCTACAACTTGGGACATTGACTTCAGTCATTCTATTCAGTATAAAAGAATATATCGATACTCAGCTAGCATTGGTTATACTTCAGAATGTCTTTTCAGATTATTCCCTGTGTCCTTTCAGCTTGTTAGGTAAAGAAATCTAATTCTTTATGTTTTCTTCAAGAGATTTTTGCTTTAGGGTATGTGCATTCGCTGGAGAGACAGAGAGTGAAAGTGAGAAATCACCTCCCCAGGGAGGATAGCCTCCCTGCAGTCCCCTCTCTTCCATTCTCCTCTTGGGATTTTGGGCACACACACACACACACTCACTCACTCACCTTGTGTGAGTTTCATGCCACCAGGTGGGAGATTCCAACCGCAATCGGCCATACACTTTAACTACTACACCGCCTACTGACATCAAAATCTAATTCATTCTCTCCCCCTGCAAATACTTGCTTGCTTTTTTTTTTTTTTAAGAATTATTTTATTACATTTATTATCATCATCATTATTTGTTTAATTTGACCAGAAAGAAACAGTGAGAGAGAAAGGGAAAGTAGGAAAGCAAGCCTTCAGGTCCCGGACCAAACCATGGTTGGTGGGTGACCTTGTGGGAGTCCAGGGCCCTTAACCGCTGCGCCACTTGCCGGCCCTCTAATTCTGTTTTCAAAAAAATAAAGTAGACCTGGGAACCAGCAGTTGGCATAATGGCTATGTCGGGGGACTCCCACGTAGTCGACCACAGTTCGCGTCCCGGACCCAGTGGCTGAAAATCATACCAGGCGCGTGTGCGTGGGTGCCCAAGATCCCGAGAGGAGAATAGAGGAGAAGGGATTGCAGCGTGACCATGCCCCCTGGGGGGTGATTTCTCGCTTTCTGTCTCTATGTCTCTCTCTGTCTGTCTGGCGAGCGCACGTGCCCTATCGCGAAAACCTCTCCAAAAAAAAAAAAAGAGAAAGTAGACCTAAAACTCAGAACCAGTTTAGATAATTGCTACCTATGTGCTATAAGTTGAAGATAAAGTCCTTGCAATTATTACCAGTTTGTTTTTAGGGACTTTTTCTTAGGGAAGCATAAAATTAAAGATTGACTTTGAAAAAATTATTTTTTTATCTAACTTTATTTATCCTCTTATTCTAATTATACCAGAGAGGGACAGAGTGAGAGAGAAAGGGAAAATGAGGAAACAGGCCACCAGGTCCAGGATTTGAACTGTGGTCTGCCATCTGGGAGTCTGTCTTTAACCCCTATACCACCTGCTGTCCTCAAATACTAATTTGTAGGTGTGATTGGTTGACTAGAATTATTGGACTTTTCCTCATTTTTAAATTAGAGATACTTTGTTTGATTAAAAAAACAAACACAAAAATACTACAGGCCAGGCCAGGCCAGCCTTGTAGCTCAGAGGTTAAGGGAACTGAATCCCAAATGGCTGGCCACAGTTCAGGTCCTGGCCCTAGTAGCTTAGAAAATATGCTGGACACATGTACATATGTGCTTAAGATCTGACAAAAAAGAAAGGGGGAGAAGAGATTGTAGCATTATTATGCCCTGTTAGTGATTGCTGTCTCTCTCTCACTAGTGAGCACATGTACTCTCTAGTAGTTTGGTTTTTTTTTGGGGGGCGGGTGGTGGTGGGTTTTGCTGTAGGGCGTGTGTGCTCGCCAGACAGAGAGAGACATAGAGACAGAAAGCGAGAAATCATCCCCCAGGGGGGATGGTCACACCACAATCCCTTCTCCTTCATTCTCCTCTCGGGATCTTGGGCACACACGCACACGTGCCTAGCGTGAGTTCTAAGCCACCGGGTCCGGGACGCGAACCGCGGTCGACTACGTGGGAATCCAGCAACATAGCCATTACCCTAACTGCTGGTTCCCATCCCCTCTAGTAGTTTTAAGAGATAAAAAATAAGTGTAAGCCTAACCTTGGTAGCATAGATGGATAGAAGCTGCTACTTGACAGCCTGAGGTCACATGGGAGGCCTGGGTTTCATTCACAGCCTGACTGTAGCAGCTGTAGTGGCATACTCCCATATTGACAGCTATTTGAGAGATTGAGGCAGAATGATCTCAGCATAGTAAGACCTTATTGGAAAAAGGAAAAAAGAAAAAAAAAGTATAACTAGATCCAGAAATTTTGAAATACTAGCAAACAGAATTTAATAATACTTAAAAAGGATTATATGTTATGACCCAAGTGAGATCTATCCCAGAAGGTTGGTTTAACAAGTAGAAATTAATCGTTGTAACACATCATAGTAATATAATGAAGGAAAAAAAAACCAATATGATCTTCTCAGAAATGCAGAAAAAGCATTTGTCACCCTATCATTATGATAATACTCAACGAAGAACAGAAAGGAACCTAATGTAGCCAAAATATACTTGGAAAAAACAGAGAACTCACACTTTTCAATTTTAAACTTACTAAAAAGTAATAATAAGGCTTAGTGGTACTGGCATAAGGTCAGACTTGTACATCAATGAAAAAGAATTGAGAATTCAGAAATAAACCTTCTGATTTATAGACTATTGATTTTTCAGTGAGCATATCAAAACAATTCAGTGGAGAAAAAATAGTCTTTTTAACATGCATTGGAGGGACAACTGGTTGTCCACATATAAAAGAGGCTTGACCTTTTTTATACCATGGAATTAGTTATAAAAGTTAACCCCAAATGGGTCAAATACCTAGCTAAAATTACAAAATTTCTAGAAGAAAACAATCTACTAGTTTCTTAGATATGACACCAAAAGCAGAACAGCATTTTAAGAAATTGAGCTTCATCTAAAATGAAAACTTTTTTTTTTTTGAGAGGTTTTTGTTATAGGGCACGTGAGCTCGCCAGACAGACAGAGACATAGAGACAGAAAGCGAAAAATTACCCCCCAGGGGGGATGGTCACGCCGCATTCCCTTCTCCTCCATTCTCCTCCCGGGATCTTGGGCACGCACGCACATGCACCCGGCGTGAGTTCTAAGCCACTGGGTCCGGGACGCGAACCTCGGTCGACTACGAGGGAGTCCAGTGACATAGCCATTACGCTAACTGCTGGTTCCCTAAAATAAAAACTTTTGTGCATCAAAAAATTGAAGAGGGCCAGCAGATGGTGTGGATGTTAAAGGGGCTGGATCCCATGTGGTGAGTCCCAGTCTGAGTGACTTGAAAATCACGCTGCACCGTGTGCGCCCAAAATCCCAAGAGGAGAATGAAGGAGAAGGGATTGCAGCATGGCCATCTCCTCCTGAGGGGTGATTGCTCACTCACCCCTGCTTTTCTCCAGTAAGTGTACACACCCTATAGCAATTTTTTTTTTTTTTTGGAGAGATTTTCACTGTAGGGCGCGTGCGCTCGCCAGACAGACAGAGAGAGACATAGAGACAGAAAGCAAAAAATCACCCCCCGGGGGGATGGTCTCGCCGCAATCCCTTCTCCTCCATTCTCCTCTCGGGATCTTGGGCACGCACGCACACGCGTCCAGCGTGAGTTTCAAGCCACCGGGTCCGGGACACAAACCGCGGTCGACTACGTGGGAGTCCAGCAACATAGCCATTACGCTAACTGCTGGTTCCCCACCCTATAGCAATTTTTTAAAGAGATTTTTGTGATAGGGTATATTCTCTTTGAGACAGTGAAAGAGAGAAAGCGAGAAGCTACTCCCTCAGGGGGGTTGACCGTGCTGCTTTCCCTTTTCCTTTGTTATTTCAGGATTTTGGCCATATACATACATGTGCCGAGTGTGAGTTTCAAGCTGCTGGGTCTGGAACTTGATCCCCAGTCGACCATGTGGGAGTCTAGCACCTTGACCACTATGCTACCTGTTGGCCCAGAAAATGAAGCACTGTGTCACACCATTTCACTATACTGTTGCAACCTTGATGTCTCTCCCCCCCCTTTTTTTTTAAAGAATTCTTTATTTAATTTTATTTATTCATTCATTTATTTTTAATTTGACTAAGACACACAGAAAGAGAGAGGGGGAAATGAGAAGGCAGGCCACCAGGTCCAGGACTCCAGCTGTGGTCTGCTATGTGGGAGTGTCCAGCACATTAACCACCATGCCACCTGCTGGTCCGTCTGTGTCCCCCCCACCCCCCCACAAGATTTTGTTAAAGTCTGGGCTGGCAGGTGACGTGGTTAAGGGTGCTGGACTCCTATATGACCAATCACACTTCTAGTCCTGGACCTTGTGGCTTGCTTTCTCACTTTCCCTCTCTCTTTCTCTTGCTTTGTCCTTCTCTGGTCAAATTAAAAGAAATAAATTTAAAAAGTTAATTTATTTTAAAAAAGTTTATGTAAAGTCTTATTAAATGTCCAGGACCTTGCCGCTCATCATTGTGGAAAGAACAGGGATGTGATTGTGTGTTTGTGAATTTTTAGTCTGCCTTTCAGGAGGTGTGACAAATCTTTAACTGTTCTGAACTTTATATTCTTTTGGAAAATGGGGATATCCTCATTTTAGAGTTGGTGTGAAAAGAAATACTCTATGCAAAGTACTTATCATAAGGTTTATAAAAGTGACTTTTTGTTAGTCTAAGACTCTTTAGGAAAACTGATTACTAGAGGATATCTTTTAATCTAGATTTCCTTTTGCAGGGTATATTTGGAGTCACCCAAGCCTCACAACCTGGAGGTCTTTTTGGCACAGCTACAAGCACTAGCACTGGGTCAGCTTTTGGAACAGGAACAGGTCTCTTCGGGCAGACCAATCCTGGATTTGGTGCTGTTGGTTCGGTAGGTTTTTACTGTTGATTAGTTTGAAGATGTATATCTGTTATAAGAATTTCTAAGAAAGATTTGATTATCTTCTAAGTATTTTTATTAGGTATTTTTATGAGTTGATACTGAAAACAACTAAAAGCTACTTGATGTGAAATAAAGTAACTACTTGACTTCAATAGGTTTATTTTCATGACTAGATTTTTTCCTTTTTGAACTTCTTTGCCTCAATGTGTGTAATTTGATTCTAATAGTTAAGTTTTATTCTAGTTGGGTAGAATAAAATCGAATATGTGTTTTTGTTTGGTTGGTTGGTTTGGTTTTTTTTGAAGTTTTTGCCATAGTGTGTGTGTGTGCTTGCTAGAGAGAGATACCGATAGACAGTGAAAGGGAAAGTGAGAAATTACTCTTCCGGGGGAATGGCCACACCGCAGTCCCTTCTCCTTATTCTCCTCTTGGGATTTTGGGCATGTATGCCCATGTGTCTTGTGATTTTGAAGCCATCAGGTACAGGTTTTGAACTGTCGTTGGCCATGTGGGAGTTCAGCACCTTAACCACCACACCATCTGCTGGCCCTAAAATCAGATAATTTGTCCAGATAAGATTTTTTTATTAATTACCAGCGGCTATGTGTATTTGCCAGAGAAACAAAGGAAGAAACCTCAAGTGGGATTTGTTCCTTCCTCAATGCTTTTTTCTTTATTCTTCCCTTCCATCAGAATTTTGGGCATGGACACATAGGCACCAGGCATGTTTTTCAAGTTGCTGGGGCTGGGACACAAACCATGGTCAGTCTTGTGGAATCTTGCTCACTTAACTACTGCTCTTTGGGCTTGGTTCTCAAATAGATATTTTTTTACTCCTAGGTTTGCTCTCTTTCTTTTGAGTAATAAATTGGTTTGATATTTGAGTTTAAATGGTTTTCATATTAATTAATTTGATGAATTGTCAGAGTTGTTGTTGGCATGCTGCTAGAGGCTTGACTACGCTTTTTTCCTTGTTAAGTAGTTAAACTAAAATAATACTTCGGAATGCACTTGACCTGAAAGTAATCATACATTTCGTATTTCTGTTTGAAAAAGTTAGTTATTTTATGCACCTACTACAAACTTGCTACTCTGGATAGTTGAAAAAAAAGAAAAAAATTCTCCAAAACATGGTCCTCTTTTCATGAAGATTGAAATATATTCTTTTGGGAGGGGACTCCAGGTAGCATGGTGGTTAGAGCACTGGACTTCCACATGGCCTATAGTGGTTCAAGTCCCAGACCCAGTGGCTTACTTTCTTACTTCCTCTTTTCTGTCTCTTGTCAAATTAAAAAATAACAAATAAAACTAAATCATTCTTTTAAAAAAAAAAAAAGAAAAATTATTTTTTCTTAATTTTGCTTAATAATTGAGGTGGAAAATCAAAAATTAGGTAGCATTTCAGAAAGTTCTTACACTTTTTAGTAATAGTTCTAATTATGTCTAATCCATATACCATGTGATTCATTTCTTTAAAGTGTATAGTTTAGTGGTAGTTGTGTAGCTATCACTATATTCTGTTTTAGAACATAACGTATATAAGGGACTTTCAAAAAGTTCATGAAAAAAACCTTGTGAATTTCAGACATTTTTACACAAAAACTCATACTTCCACTTTTTCACAAACTTTTTGAAGTCCTCTTGTACATTACAGCAAAAAGAAGTCCCATATTTATTAGCCATTTCCACTCTGTTCCCTTGGGCTTACTTTTCTTACAGAGTTGACTTTTCTGAATGTTTTGTATTAATAGATGTACAGTGATCTTTTATGGCTGTTTTCTTCCGCATAGAATAGTGTTTTCATGGTTCACTCATATTGTAGCATATTTATATATTTTTTTTGTTAAATGTTTGCTGGGAAGTTAAATATGTACTTCTGGTAATAGATTATAAGGAATATTTGATGCAGGTGTCAGCAGGTGGCTTAGTGGTTACAGCGCTAGATTCCCACACGGCTGAACGCTGTTTGAGTTCTGGTGTGATGACTTGAAAATCATGCCAGGTGTGTGTGCGTGTGAGCCCAAAATCCCAGAAGGAAAACGGAGGAGAAGGGATTGCAGTGTGGCCACCCCCCAGGGGTTACTTTTCACTTTTCCTCTGTTTCTCTCTGTCTCTTTCCAATGAATGCATGCACCCTATCGCAAAAACCTTTAAAAAAAAAATCCCTCACTGAAATCTTGTTTTTATTGAGTTTTGTTGCCATTAACTTTTCAGGCTGTGAGTATTCTCTGTTTAAAAAATTATTCTCACATAAGATACTTAATTTTTCTGCTGGCCTTTAATAATCATCTTTCTACCTTTTTATCAAAGTCATGTTTCCTTTACTTCTTACCTAATCCAGTATACCAGAGGTAACCTTTATTTCCTGTTTGGTATTGATCTTTATTTTATTTAACTTTTTCCTGTATTTTGTTCTTTTTAGACCCTGTTTGGCAATAACAAGCTTACTACATTTGGAACCAGCACAACCAGTGCTCCTTCATTTGGTACAACCAGTGTCGGGCTCTTTGGTAACAAACCAACCCTGACTTTAGGAACCAATACAAACACTTCCAGTTTTGGTACATATAATAAGCAGGTTTGACTCTCTTAAAGTTACACTGACTATACCACACATCATTCTCCTGATTCATATGATTGGGAATATTTTAAAATGCTCAGGTAAGCTGTGGCTTCATGTGAGGAACCAGAGGGAAAGGTTTAAAGTCATGGACATGGCTTGTAGATACTTAGTAGAGATGTATATTGACTTTCTTTTTCTTTGGATTACCTCACCAATAGCTGAGAAACCATAAATGGAGTATACTTGTTGGAAGTAACATATTCTTTTAGTCCAGCTTTCAGACATGGAAATAGAATGTAGCAAAGGTTTGATAATTATTGAAAGTGGAAACCTTTCTGATTTGGGAGATTATTCAGTAGTTCTCTAGCAATTCTAAAATTTTTATTTCTGTAGACATGTTTTTGTTTTGTTTTGTTAGTTTCTTTTTAAAACCCAGAGGGTGCGTACACTTGCCACAAAGAGAGGAGAGAGACAAAGCATCCCCTGTTGGGACATGGTCACCCCACAGTCTCTTCTCCATTTTTCCATTCTGTTGCGATTTTAGGCATGCATGCACATGTGCCCAGCATTTCTTTGAAGTCCCTAGTGCCAAGATCCAAACTGTCCTCCGTGTAGTATTTGACTTTTTTAACTACTAGGCTTTAGGAGCAGCCAGCCTCTCAATTGTATTAATTGTAAAAAAAGAAAAAAAATAGGAAATATGGATAAGATAGAACAATTTTTTAAAAAACAGACCCTATGCCCATCTATGGTAGTTTGCACTGATTCTGTGGCTCAGCAGCTGAGATCACATAAGAGGTCTAGGTTCAATTTCCAGCTTACTCTAAAAACCTACATAGATTGTGCCAGCTACTTGGAAGGTTGAGACAGGAGGATTGCAATATAGTCGGACCCTGTCTAAAAGAAATGGACCCTAAAACTATTCTTCAGAGATGTGCTGGAAAAATTTAACATAGTTTAATAAAAACATCATATTATTTTCTGTAACTTAACTAATTTAGTTTTCAAACAGACTCAGCATTACATCTGTTAAATCAATATAAGAAGTTTATTTTATTGCCAAAGGAAATAGTGTGAAGGATTTCATGTGCCAGATACATCACTAGGTACTGACTGATTCTTTATGGGAGGTGATTGCAAAGACATGGTTATTTGGCATAGGTCAGTAGTTACATAGTTCTTCGATGAGTTTTTCTGTGATTGCAATGTAATGATAAAAGAGACTATGTTGATATTCATTGGAAGGTTGATTATGTTTTCAGAAAATAACTATTTTAAGAACATAGATTAGTAATTGTCAGGGGCCACTCTAAATTTATGTTGACTCAGTTTGGCTTTTATAACCTCTTTAGTTGTGTTGCTCTCTTGCTAGAAATGTTGTTCAGTTCCACCTATGAGTCTCATTGATTATATTCTAAAGAATAGCTTAGAGGCAGTGGACTTGGTTAGCTTGGGTAAGTTATCTGGGTTGTGTACTTATTTCTTATCTATAAAATAAGGATGGGAAAGATACTTATGGGTTAAATCAGTGTTTCTCAACTTTTAAAAAACGATTACTTTTTTTTCTCATGAAGACTTTATTGACCATTTTTTCTTAGTCATAACTTGCCTCTGAGATTTTAATATTATATTTATGTATTTATTATAACAATATGTGTGTATGTGTGTGTATATATATATATATATATATATATACACACATATATATATATACACACATACACAGTTAACATTCGTTAGCCCTTTGGAAAGCCATAAACTCTTGTTGTCTATGAGTTTTATAAGCCCCTGAAGAACCAATTTTTTGCTTCCTTTGAAAATGAATGTATTTAATAAAACCTTTTTTTATAGCACACTTTTTGAGGATTAAATGTTATTTTTGTCTGACAGGATGTTTGTATAGGGTATACTTTCAGATAGCACTAACTTTAAATATAGGTGACACTATTCTACTGTTTCTGATTTCTAATTTCCCTGGAGGCTGTTTGTGCGAATATATTCACAGTCATGTTTAGTGATTTGAAAATGAAAGGTCTCATCTTTGACTTGCCTCACTAGCTTGTGTGCTGAATTTGAATTGTTTTCATTTTAATTTGTTAAATTATTTTGGCATAACACAGTTGATAAACTTGTCAGTGAGAATCGGAGGAAATGTGTGGTATAAATGGTGTAGACTGGTACTTATTTCCCTTTCGTGGGTTTGAGGTAATTCACAAGCATTTTGTTTTCTGTTGTATGTGGAATTGGAAGATCTTTTTTGGTTAAATATTAATTCAAAAGAAAAAGAGTAACTCCAAGTACATTTTTCTGGCTTTTTTTGTTTGAAGAAATTTGATTATGCTTGAGTAGGTAACTCTCCATTTTTGTGGCATAGCAATTCAGGAGGAGATTTAATGAATCCATCGATCAAACACATAAAGATTAAAACAGATTACTTGACTTGGATTTTTAAATGAAATGAAATGCAATTGTTTTGGTTTTGTTTTGCTATAGGGTGAGTGCACTCACCAGATAGAAAGAGGCAGAGAAAAAGAGAGAGGGGGGAAAAAATGAGAAATCACTCCCTGGGGGATTGATGGCCACTCCATAATTCCTTCTCCTTTACATTCTTCTCTATTTTGGAGCACACATGTCCAGCTTGTTTCTCGAGTCGCCAGGACTGTTAAGTCAGCCATGTGGAAATGTGGGATCCAACTGCCACACCATTTGGCTAGCCCAAGATAAACTCGTTTTAAAACTTTGTATTCTTTAAGTTTTGTTAAGATAATCTAACTACTGGCATGACAAAGTATAACATTCTTAGCTATACTATCACCTGTTTCTCTATATCCTCTTGGTTATTGGTTATCTTTTGGACTTGTTCCCTCCATGAAAAACTTTTTTTCTTTCTTTCTTTTTTTTTTTTAGATATTTACTGGAGAAAGACAGAGAGAAAAAGTGAAATCACTCCCTCCCTCCAGGGAGAAAGTCCAAACCGCAGTCCCTTCTAATTCATTTTCTCAGGATTTTCAGCACACATCCATATGTGCCTAGCATGTTTTATAAGCCATTGGTCCAAGACTTCAATCTTACCCAGCTGGTCATGTGGGATCCAGTGCCTTAATCAACATGCCACTGCTGGACCCATGATACTTTTTACAAATTTATTTACTTTTAGGTTTTTTTCGTAGGGTGCGTGTACTTGCTGGAGAGAGACAGAGAGAAGGGAAAGTGAGACGTCACCTTCCCAAGGGATGGCCACGCTACATACGATCCCTTCTCCTCCATTCTTCTCTTGTGATTTTGGGCATGCAAGTTCATGTGCCTGGTGTATTTTCGGGCCTCCAGGTCCAGGATTCGAACCATGGTCTATCCAGTGCCTTAACCACCATGTCACCTGCTGACCCTACCCACAGTGCTATTTATTTATTTATTTTTTTTTTAAAGAGATTTTTGCTATAGGGTGCATGACCTTGCCAGAGAGAAAGAAAGCAAGAAATCATCCCCCAGGGGTGATGGCCATGCAGTAGTCCCTCCTCCTCCATTCTCTTGGGATTTTGGGCACACACGCACATGCACCCAGCATGAGTTTGGAGCTGCCGGGTCCAGGACTCACAATGCAGTTGACTACATGGGAGTCCAGTGACATAATCATTATACCATCTGCTGGTCCCTCCACAATACTTTTTTTTTTTTTTTTAGCTATTTAATTAAATTTTTTTTTGAGAGGTTTTTGCTGTAGGGTGTATACGCTTGCCAGAAAGAGAGAGACAGAGAGCAAGAAATAACCCCCCAGGGGGATGGCCACATCGCAATCCCTTCTCCTCTTGGGATCTTGGGCACGCACATACAGGGCCCGGTGTGAGTTTAAGCCACCTGGTCCAGGACTTGAACTGCAGTCAACTACATGGGAGTCCAGCAAGATAGCCATTATGCCAACTGCTGGTCCCTGAAGTGTCTTTATTTGTTACTGTTGACTGTCATTTTTTTTAGTGAAATTTTGAAAAAATATGATTTTCTTCATATAAGTAAACTTGAAACATGAATTGGATACTTTGGGCTTATCAAAGGGAAGGTTCCCAATACTTTAATATTGAATATTTTATATTGAATCGCTGTTTCAGTCATGACATCTAATTGAGTAAATATGAAGACTTGTTTGCAGGTTTCAAAATGAAATTTTAAGAATGTTAAATTGGCCTTTATTTTAGGATTCCTAAATACTAGTAACTGAAAGGATACAGAGCTTAGTGTCAGACTGCTTTGTGTCAAACTCCCTTGTACAGGAAATTAAAAATCATGTTAAAATTATAGTCCGCTCATTCTCTTGTCCTTACAGGTTTTGGCACAAATAACACCGGGAATAGTATTTTTGGAAATAAACCGGCACCTGGGACTCTAGGAACTGGACTTGGTGCAGGATTTGGAACAGGTAAGGAACTGCTACCTTGAGGGTTAGGAAATGATAAGAATGTGGCGTTCTAATTTTTAGAACCCAAGAGTTTTGATTGATCATATTCCTGGAAATAAGAGGCCTGTATTTTCCTTTTTACAAATAGATTGATAAAATATTCCCATTACTTATGCTTCTGAGGTCTTAAAACATTGGTCCATTTATCTTAGAATGTATATGCTCCTTTTTCTGTAAGCTTGGTTATATTGATAGTCCTGGTTTATCTGTGATTTTCAGTATTTATCTTGAGAATAGTGAATATGGTGATATTATCTTTTGGTTTCATGTGTTGCCATTGTCACAGATTTCAGGATTTGAAATGCCTTTTGTTTCTTTTGAGAGAGATTTTTGTTATAGGGCAAGTGCATTCGCTTTAAAGACAGCCGGAGAGAAAGTGAAAAATTACCTCCCAGGGGAGTGTCCTTGCCGCAATCCCTTCTCTTCCATTCTGCTCTTGGGAATTTGGGCTCATTTGCTTGCACATGTACCTTGTCTGAGTTTCAACCTTTTGGGTCTGGTACTTGAACTGCAGTCACCATACGGGAGTTCAGTGCCACAACCATTAAACCACTTGCTGGGCCCAGAATTTGAACTTTTTTTTTTTTTTTAAGTATTATGTATTTATTTAATTCCATTTGTTGTTATCATCATCATTTTTTAACTTGACCAGAGAGAGAGAGAGCTCGCAAAAGTATGAAAGCAAGCCGCACGGTCCAGGACTCAAACTATGATTGTCCATGTGGGAATTCAGTGCTTTTAACCACCACACCACCTGCTGGCCCAGGATTTGAACTGTTAATAAGTGAACCTTGATAGTAAGGCAGAGCAATAAGAGTATATGAAACATACTCTGGAGCCTTTCAATTCTTTTTTGTTATAGGGTTCGTGTGCTCACTGGAAAGACAGGTAGAGAGACAGAAAACCAGAAATCATCCCCTAGGGGAGATGGCCACGCCTCAGTCCCTTTTCCATTCTCCTCTAGGGATCTTGGGCACACACACGCGTGCGCCTGGAGTTAATTTTAAGCCACCAGATCCAGGATTCGAACTGTGGTCAACTACGTGGGAGTCCAGAAAATTAACCATTACACCATCTGCTGGTCTGGACCTTTCAATTCTTTTTTTTTTTTTTTTAAGAGATTTTTGCTATAGGGCGCGTGCGCTCGCCAGTCAGGGACAGAGAGACAGAAAGCGAGAAATCCCCCAGGGGGGATGGTCATGCCGCAATCCCTTCTCCTCCATTCTCCTCTCGGGATCTTGGACACACGTGCCTGGTGAGCTTAAGCCACCACATCCTGGACACGAACCGCGGTCGACTACATGGGAGTCCAGTGACATAGCCATTACACCAACTGCTGGTCCCTGGGCCTTTCAATTCTTTACACTATGATAAATACCTGGAATGTTACCCCTTTTTTCCTATGATGTCAGTATTTTATATTTTATATGGATAACTTTAGCACCTTCGAAGATAACTGACCTGTCTGCCCGTCCAGCAGTTTAAGACAGTTGGAGAGTAGTAGTGGTCACAAAATGTATATTTCTTTTATTTATCTTTCTTTTTTCTTTCTTTCTCTCTCTTTCTATCAAATCAACCAGAGAGGGACAGAGCAAGCAAGCAAGAGAGAGAGAAAGGAAAGTGAGAAAACAAGACAAACTGCTAGGTCTGGGACTCGAACCACTGTTAGCCATGTGGGAGTCTAGTGCCCTTAACTACCATGCCCTGCCGGGCCCAAAATGTACAAGATTTTAAGCATATACAGTTATACAAGGTTACCTCAGCATATAGTTGTACCTACTTTCACAGTTCCTCTGACCATCGGTGGGGACATTTAGTTGCAAACCATCTATTTCCATGGCCTGCATCACCACTGTCTATTTATCTGTAGTTCTTTTTCTTTTTTCTTTTTTTTGGGAGGAGAGGTTTTTCCTACAGGACGCGTGCGCTTGCCAGAGAGAAACACAGAGACAGAAGGCGAGAAATCACCCCTCAGGGGGGAAGGCCACGCCGCAGTCCTTTCTCTTCCATTTTCCTCCTGGGATCTTGGGCACGCATGCACACACACCCAGAGTGAGTTTAAACCACTGGGTCCAGGACTCAAACCGCAACTGACTACATGGCAATTCAGCGACATAGCCACTATGCTAACTGCTGGTCCCTTTATTTGTAGTCTTTACTTCTTGGCTCAACTTTGTTTTGTTTTGTTTTTTTGGCTCATCTTTAATGTCTTAAATAGAATCTCATTTTGTACTATGAACTGCTTCTTTTCATTTTCTTTTTAAAATTAAGATTGTGTGCTCATTTAATCAATTCAGAAGTTTCACGAGAAGTCCAGGTCTTTCAGCTATGTAGTAGCAAGCTTCTGAAAGTTTGTATTTTGTCAGAAACCTTCCTCTGCATGTTTAAAAGATATAGATTGTGGGACAAACAGATTGCATAATGATTACGTTGCTGGATTCCCACATTGTTGACCATGATTCGAGTCTCAGAGTCAGCAGCTTAAAACTCATGCTGGATATGTGTGTGCCCAAGATCCCAAGAGGAAAATGGAGGAGAAGGGATTGTGGCATGGCTACCTCCCGGGGGTGATTTATCACTTTCTCTGTCTCTCCAGTGAGTGCACATGCCCTATAGCAAAACATTTTCTTAATAGTTATTTTATTAGTTTATTATTATTATTATTTTTGGAGAGGTTTTTCGCTACAGGGCGCGTGCGCTCGCCAGACAGAGACAGAGAAAAAGCAAGAAATCACCCCCCCAGGGAGGATGGTCACGTCGCAATCCCTTCTCCTCCATTCTCCTCTTGGGATCTTGGGCACGCACGCACACGTGCCTGGCGTGAGTTTGAAGCCACCGGTTCTGGGACGTGAACTGCAGTCAGCTACGTGGGAGTCCAGTAACATAGCCATTATGCTAAGTGCTGGTTCTCATTATTATTATGTTTAATGTTACCAGAGAGAGATAGCTGACATGCGAAAGCCAGGCTCCAGATCCAGGTATCAAACCATAGACCACCATGTGAGAGTCCAGCCCTTAAACGCCACACCACCTGCTGGCCTCACAAAAATCTCTCTTAAAATAAAAAAAAAACTGATTGTATATTTTTTACTTCTATTTCTGAATTAAGGAGCTATTCTATTGGTTCATCATTTTCTTCTATTTCTAATTAGGAATGTTGGCATTGCATTTTTTTTCTCCCATTACTACTTTTCTTTATCCCACAGTGTTCTTTCTTTATTTCTTCTAGTTTCTTAGTCAGTTTTGTTTTAATTTCAGTTTTTTGTTAGTTTTTTTTTAATTCATCATAGAATTTACATGGGACCTCAGCCTGCTTCAGGCCAACTGGGCCAGAGATTCGAACCACTGTTGTCATGTGGGAACTGACTTCTTCTGAGCAGCACATTACCATTGCCCCACAGATCTGAATCCTCTATTTTTATTTTAGAATTATTTATTTAATTTATTTTATTATTTTTAAAAATTATTATTATTATTAAATTTGCTATAAGGCATGCATGCTTACAGGACAGGGAAGAGAAAGTAAGTGAGAAAGCTAGCTGCTCAGTCCAGGATTCAAACTGCAGTTGACTATGTGGGAGTCCGGTGCCATAAGCACCACACTACCTGCTGGACCTCTATGCATTTTTCATTTTTCATACCTGCTTGTACATACACACACACACTTAAAACTTTTTGTATGTATGTGTGTGTGTGTGTTTTTTTTTTTTTGGAGAGGTTTTTGCTATAGGGGGCATGTGCTCGCCAGAGAGAGAGAGACATAGAGACAGAAAGCGAGAAATCACCCCCAGGAGGGGATGGCCACACTGCAGTCCCTTCTCCTTCATTCTCCTCTCGGGATCTTGGGCACACATGCACATGCGCCCAGCATGAGTTTTAAGCCACCAGGTCCGGGACGCGAACTGCGGTCGACTACGTGGGAATCCAGCGACACAGCCATTACGCTAACTGCTGGTTCCCTGTATGTGTGTTTTATGTATAAGTTTTGGAGTATGTTTCTGATGGAAACCATATGCACTAAATAGTGATTGTTAAACAGAGGCTAAGATGCATTGGTTAGTTAGGAAAACGAACTACAATTAAGACTTACTGTATATGTTAAGGTTAATATCCTTTTATGAAACTGTTTCAGTTATATATGTGTATCAATGTGTTTTGAGTTTCAGTGTAATCTATATCATGTGCTTTGGTAAAAAAAATGTTTGAAAGCGTCTACCTTGGTTTTGGGACTTCTTGTTTCATTTCACATGATATTATCAGTGTGTCTGGTTTTTTTTTTTTCCCTTTTGGTCAGTACATAAAGATCTATCTCAATAAAGAAAAAATTTGGGACCAGCAGATGATGTAATGATTACATTGCTGGACTCCCATGTTGTTAGCTGCTGTTCAAGTTCCTGTCCCAGCAGCCAGGCCCGTGTGCATGTGTGTCCAAAATCCTGTGACAAAAATGGAGAAGAGATTGAGGCGTGGCCATTTCCCCTGGGGGGTGATTTCTCGCTTTTTGTTTCTCTCTCTCTCTTTTGAGCACATGCACCCTCTAGCAAATTCTCTCTTAAAAAAGAAACACTTTAGGGACCATAAGTTAGCGTAATGGCTATGTGGCTGGACTCCCACGTGGTCGACTGCGATTCGAGTCCCAGACCCAGAGGCTTAAACTCACGCTGGGCACGTGTGCGTGCGTGCCCAAGATCCCAAGAGGAGAATGGAGGAGAAGGGATTGCAGCGTGGCCATCTCCCCTGCAGGGTGATTTTCTCGCTTTCTGCCTCTCTGTCTCTGTCTGGCGAGCATACGCGCCCTATAGCAGAAACCTCTCCAAAAAAAAAAAAGAAATACTTTAGGGTCCAGCAGGTGGCTTGGTGGTTAAGGGTTTGGATCCCATATGGCCAACTGTGTAGTTGGAGTCCTGGACCTAGTGGCTTGAGCATCTGTGCACGTTCGTGTGTGCCCAAAATCCTGAGAA